ATAATACATTCGGATTCCGGTGAGACTCGTCTGTTATTTATAAATAATTGTAATGACAGACTGGCGAATGTAGCTTAAGTCAGTGTCGCAATAGTGGGGAGTCCCATCGGTCAGCCAGTGCGCTCAGGACACTGTTGGAGCTGTCGCGCACGCGCGCCCACAGCGAGGCGCAGCGCTTTCTAATGATCGTGTAAAAGCAATCAATACGCGCCTCGGCAAACATAGACGACGCACTGCAATAACGCGGCAGACCGAACAACATCCTGAACGTGTTATTATATTGGACTCGCAGTGCGCTGTATGTCCGCTGCGTAAAGTTCACCCAAAGACCACACGTGTAGAACGACTGACAATAAGCTTTGAAAAGCGTCAGTTTGACTCGTTTACTACACTGTGCAAATCTGCGGGCCAACATGTTACAGCGGACACACAGCGCCCTACGTTCCCTCTCCATATCTACTGAGTCCGACAAGTTGTCAGTGACCCAATGGCCCAAATACTTGAATTTGTCAACTTTTTTAAGTTCAGTGCCCCCGAGTGTAACGGAAGGTACACTGCGCTGACACCCTGCCGTCCCAGCTCGAAATACCATGAACTCACTTTTAAGACTTTGAGTCCATGAACCTCTGCATATTTTTCACACATATGAAGCAGCTTCCTCAATGCACCAATCGATGGGCTCAGCAGCACCATATCATCAGCGTAACTAATATTATTAATACAAACACCACCGACGTAGCATCCCATATAGGTACTGCTGAGCTCCTCGATTAGACTGTTCATGTACAGGTTGAAAAGTTTGGGCGAGCTTAACCCCCCCTGTCTCACCCCGCATTGCAACCTGTACCTGTCCGACTGCGAACTAGCCCACTTCACACAGTTGCTCTGATTGTCATACCAATATTTAAAAATGGATATAACTTCAGGAGGCAGCTTAGTATCACAATACAGTTTTTTCCACAATAGGTTGTACGATACTAGGTCGAACGCTTTCGACAAGTCCAAAAAACAAGCATAGACTGGGGTTTTTCTAGCTGTGTAGTACTGTACAGTCCGTTTGAGACAAAAGATGGCACTCTCTGTGGACAGACCCGGCTTAAAACCAAACTGAGCATCGTGACTCCTAATGTGCTCACCTAGTCTTTTATCCAACAGACTATCCAGCACCTTGGCTATAACCGTCGCTAAAGATATAGGTCTGTAATTGGAGAAGTTGGAAACATCTCCCGTTTTGTTTTTTATAATGGGCACTACAAGTGTGTACATCAAATCTTCGGGTAGGTAACAGTGACTCATACAAAAGTTAAAAAACATCGAAAGAACTCTAGGCAAGTGCACCCCTGCGTACTTCAGGTGCTCGATGCTGAGATCATCGTGACCGGGAGACTTACCTCTAACCATTGCCTTGATTGTAGAGGCGACCTCTCGCGCAGAAAATCTAACGGTTAAGTTCCCGACAGGACGACACCCAGCACCGAACTCATGCGAGTCCCCCAAAAGGGGAGAATCTACTTTAAAATGCTTTCGGAAGGCATTCGCTATATCAGTCGGTTCATAAATACCATCTACGCTCACAGGAAGACTCTGCTTTGGATTCAGTTTTTTGGTATTATTCCAAAATTTTACGAAATTTTTATCAGTGTGATTCTGTGCGATAATATCTAATTTAATTTGATTCTGATGCTTTTGGCAATATTTTAATTTAGCTTTGAAGTATTTTTAGTGGCTTTCATGTTATCGTAAAAAGAACCAAAATTAGGTTTTCCATATTGTACCCAAGACTGGTACCAAAACCGAGCCTCCCTATGAGCGGCACTCACGTGTTTATTCCAACCAGTTATGTATTTATGTTTTTTATTTTTCTTTACAGTATAGCTACTTGTAGCGGACTCTTTTAGGATACATATAATGTTACGGTACAAATCTGTTATTTTTACTCTGTGGTTGACATCTGAACACTTTTTATCTGCACATTTACAAAAATCAGCAGGAAAGTCTAATAAACGTAATTTGCTATTACATGCATCACTATATATTTGTATTTGATAATTATCTCTTTCCCCCCAACGAACTTTATTACAATACGGAGTTGAGGCTACAAGTTTTGACTTGACTTTATTTAAATTGCACCCAATTAACAAAGGATAATGGTCAGACCAATAAACATTATTACATAAAACCGAAGCATTGTGTACAATGTGTCGCACGGCATCAGTAACCAAACAATGGTCAAGCCATCGGCGAGAACCGTGTGCATCGCTAATATACGTATAGGTATCACTAGGCAAAATTTCCATGTCAACACACGACCACGACTGTTCAGAGCAAAAGTTTAAAAGTTCATGTGAAAATTGCTCACCGGGATGCGCATTGAAGTCCCCGAGTACGAATACTGACTCGATGTTGTTCGTCTCAACCAAAGCACTTATTTCACCCATACACTCTGTGAATTCCGTAAGATTCAACGCTGTGTCTGTAGGCATATACACAGAAATCACTAACAGCGACTTACCACTGTCGAGAAAAAACTTTAACTGCCGTCAACCGCACACTATGACATACCACTACTGACACACTCGGGAACACGGACTTCCTCCACAGTAGTGCAACTCCGCCAAACGGCCTCCCTCTGAGTATATCTTTAGATGTATCTACCGCAGATTTTCCAGTAAAAGCGAAGTCGTCATCTATGGTCCCCAGGTATGGCAGATCATGAGGTTAAAGCCACGTTTCTTGTAGAGCAATAATGTCAGCTGTCCGGCACAGACCTCTCAAGCAGTCAATCGAACGGTGTAAATTTTTACAGTTAAAAGAAATGATCTTAGTTGTAGCAGCCATTATTGTTGATTAGATTTATTTGGCACCTTATCACTCCGGTATCTTCTTCTTCTTCTTCTATAACATAAAAATAAATCTATTCTGTAAAGATCGATAAAATAAATCATTTTTTTATTACACTGTGGTATTAATATCCACAACTATATTATCATTTTCACTACATGCAAACGTGCTCAGACAATTATTATAGACAGTAGGCGACATCATAAAGTCTATTGCCATACATTTTTCGCCAAACACCTCCATAAACACATTAAAATGTGTATATATGTTAGACTTTAAGGTATCTATCTATGGGCCTACGTTGCCTGACTATAAATTAATAAAATTATAAGGTGTGATACACTAAAAATCTAAAATATGGTTGTATTAAAAACATAACAAAAATAATGAAGCTACTGAATATATGGCTATAGAACCTAAATCTCTTAGCTTTTTTTGGTTATTGAGAGTTTAAAAATTCTCTCTAATCTGTGGCTCATTCACAATCATCACACAGTTTCTGTCACAGAGTACCTTATTATAACCGGAAATGCATAGTAATTGACGTGCGTACCGGTCAGGGTTGCCCCACTGCAGGCCTTCCCTATGGATGGAATAAGAAGTTTGGGCCATGCTATGTAGGCTCCTAAGGCTCCACACCTGATTTTAAAAGTTACTCTTATGCATTAACTTTAAAAACAGGCAACTGTTAATCTACATGCTCTATATACTTACCTGAATCTAATCCATAATTTCGGAACTTGGCTTGATTTCCCTAGTTTACTATGTAACTTATTTGTTTTTTATTATTTCAATATGTTCAGTGTAAAAATATTATTAATGATGTCGAAAAATGTACAAAATTTGTATATCACAGTAATAACACTAATTATTACTTTTCATTAAGGGAGTAATAATATGCCTAATTTAATATGTTCATACTTAATAGTTACTGTACGAAGTATTTTTTTTATATGCTAACTTTTACCCAAATAAAAAATCTGGTACGTATTGATCAGGCTATGGTGGGTTGACACCTGAACTAGGATGAATCCTGTGTCTCAGGTAATCACCCCACCCTCCACCCCATTCATAATTTTGTGTACTATTTTGTAAACAATTTAGTAATTCAGATAACTGTTTTTAAGTTATAAATTCAATGGAATTGCCAAAGGAGTTTGTTATGTTTGTTTGTGCGAGAGTATGTGTCTGTGTGTGTGTATCTTATCATGTTCATGTTATTATTTTACATGTATATTATATACTAGCTGTACCTCGCGGTGTTACCCGCGGTTTATAAGGGATATTTTCTCGCAATAAAACGTAGCTTATGTGTTAATCAAGGGTGTCAGCTAACTCTATACCAAATTTTATTAAAATAGCTCCAGTCATTTAGACGCGAAGAAATAACAAACAGACACACTCACAAACTTTCGCCTTTATTATATTAGTGTGATATGTTCTACCCAGTTCTGATACAAAGGAATCTATCTTTGTATGGATAGGATACATTTTGGTCACATACATTTATTTATCACGATTAATCTTTGTTTGCATAATTTACTAAGATTTATACCCTCTCGTGACGGCGACTATTATTCATTGTTTTGTATAGGGTTTATGTACACACCACGACAATGTTATCTCTTTAGTTAAGTGTTTGTTTCATTATATTATTGGTTATAAATTGCCATAGTCAGATATATAGTAATTCTGTAAACATAAGCCGTTACTAAGCACAGAAATAAATTGCTACGAAAGGATGCAGAGTATTGTAGTATTATCAGCATCCTTTCTATTAATCTATTCACTCTTACCTATTTTTTGAATACGTAGGCAAAACCTCTATTTACAGACGTTGGCGCACTCAGCAGGGGAGGGAACTGATTCCTCTTTGATTTTTATGACTAAGAAATTGAATTTCATACTTAAAATATAATTTATCTAGAAGCCCTCGAAAAAGGTCAAAAATAAACACATTTTTATCACCACTAAAGACGACTTCGAGAGCCAAACCTCGAATTTTGCATTTTTTTAGCGTTAACTACTGTTGTCCCTATCACACCGTATTTGCTAATGCGTGACAGTAATAGTTTTTTCAAATACCTATTTCTCAAATGACTCTCAGCTCGCGTCCGCTTTTAAGGGGCACACCAACGAGCGGACCTCACACATTATTCGCTAAAAAACCCTGCAAATACACTCTACGCTGTTAAGTGCGGAACCGCGAGATCCCCGTTAAGGGACTTCACCGCGTTTCCGCACCCAACAGCCTACCCGGCCTTTTTTTTATTAGCCTACCGGCCTAGCCAGACGTGCAGAGGACTGCCCGCGCTGGGAGTTAAGTGCGCTGCCTATTGTCTACCGCACCGCTCGCTCCCCGTCTGCTGCGGAAGGACTGCCTAGGCGTTCCCCTTACAGGTCCTTCCGCGGCCCTCTCATGTAGGACAGAGCTACAAGAGAGGGCTGGTGGTATTCACTCTTACCTACAATTTATTGAGTAATATACTTTGTAGGTGCTAATATTTCACTTGTTGTTACACATTTAACTCCCTTTATAGTGACAAAGCAGTGTTCGACTTTGTTTAGAAATAAATATATTATTATAATATATTTTTTTTGCTTCTTTTAATGGAAATGTCAGGTAAGTAAAAGAAAATACAGAGAAGGAATGAAACTTATTTAAATTAAAATTATTAGGTAAGATGTGTACTATTTAATTACAACTAGGTAAGTACTTATTATTATTTTAGTAATACAAGACCACAATTAAATGAAAATACGTAATAGACAATTTTTGTCATAGTCAGAACAAAAGAATACTTAGTACCTGTTATTATTTTGCATATTATGTATATGGTTTTATCCACCAGCGAAGTAAATAAAAGGTTGTCTGTGCGATTAATATGAACCTCACAAGGTTGTTATCGTTCTTACATGAGTGGCACTACTATATTGTAATTACATACCTCTTGTATCAGTACTTCGATTGTTTGGTAGTCCGATGGTCCGGTTATCACTTATGAGACTTCAGAAATGAGGAGTTTCTCAATTCGGCCGGTATGTTTTTTTTTCTTTTATGTATGCGATTACGCCGAGATTTCTGGTCAGAATTTTTTGTCTGATGCAGAATAGTTGCCAAAAATCAGTTTGGCCCCATAGTTTTTTTTATGAGCATTTTTTTAACTTGGACGCTGTAATTTTACCAGACTTTGTTTATAATGTAAACCGATTACTTTCAGTGTTTCTTTTTTGTTCAAAGTAAGATACTTGCCATTTGGTCTCATTAAAATTTAATTTGATTTAAAGTAGTAGTTTTCATTTTATGAGCATTTTGGTTTACTTGGACGATGTAGTTTTCACAATATTTTGTGTACGGATGGTTTTAGGCTCCGCTTTAATCTTGGCCCCGTCCGATTTCTAAATCATACTAGGGCCCGTTCGATTTTGTGTAAACCGAATATAATTTTTTACTCTTTAGGGCTCACGCGTTTTCGGGATAACATTAACATGATAAACATAACTTACGATAACAAAACCTATCCTAGCGATTTCCATGTTAAATTACTGCCTATTAAATAGAACAAGTGCAAAACTAGCACTTCACTTATTTCTCCAGGAAAAACAGGAAGATTGGTTAATTTAGACAGCCCGCCATTTGGATCTTTTTTTTTATACGCAGACAAAATACTATTTACAGACGACGGCGCCTTTAAGAGGCACACCGCCGAACGGACCTTACACCTGGCTCACGCTCATTTTTTTTAATATTGTTATTACCAATGCAAAAGAAAAAAAAAAGAGCGCGAGGCATTTGAAAGTCTCAGGCGGCTAGAAATAACAAAATGAAATCGTAAGCGTTAACGTTTTCCAAAGCATTTCTCCGCGAGAATATTTTAAACCGACTTCAAAAAGGTTATTTTTTCTTCTGTATGTTTTTTAATGTGCTATTACGCTTAGAGCATCAATCTAAGGCTGTTATCTACGCGATTAATACCTAAATTTTTATTCGATAAGAAATACGTATATTTTTTTACATTTTTCTATAACTTAGTAAGGGAATCTTTATTAAATCTTTGATTTGGCATTATTTTTCAGGTTACTTACATCACACCACTTCCTCGACTCAAAGCTATGCCAAATCTACGACAGATAGATGTGTCTGCCAACTTCGAATTGTCTCTTTTAGGTCAGTTAAAACAAAAATACTTACTTATTTTATAACCTACGTAAAATATTCTATTCAAAGTCCTACTTACTTTAAAACTTGCATCGTTTTTGTTACACACAAAAAAATTGGATTCTAATATCTTACTTATTGATATGAAAATGTCAACGCTAGTATTTTTGTAACTCAATCATGCTAAAACAGTAGATCTTGTTTGTCCACTGGTAGGTAATTCTGAAGCAAATTTTCATTCTCATTAAAGTCATCACGGCGATTTTTATGATCTTGCCGTATACTTTTTCTTGCTTTTGCGCAAAAAAGCGGGTTCACGGTAACCGCAGCAGGCAGCAGGGTTGTGAGGGATTTAGTTGATCATGGGGACTGTCCACTGATTGAAAAAATTGTAGATAGGATTTTATCTGTTTTTAATATAATTTACTGAGATAGAATTAAGGTTTTCTACCTACACTTACACAACATAGATCTATGTCTTCCGAACAATTAATTATTTGAATTTGAATTGTACTAATATTAATGTATGTATGTTGATTTTCAGATATAATAAACGTCGAGAAACTGATGAAAAAAGAAGTAGATTTAAAAAATCTGTTTCACTTTAAGGAACTGATGTTGACGTTCGCAAACGCAACGATCACAAATCCCAACGTGAGGAAAATTATGGACGACCCCAAGGAAAAATTCGATGCCGTTATTGTTGAATGGCTTTATACGGAGGTATATTCTGGGTAGGTTAAACATCATATAATTTTCTGCTGTTTATTATAGTGTTCAATCAATTATAGTAGTCTATTCTCACGATATGTCTGTTTAACAACTTTCAGAGCTAATTTTAAATATACTTGTAAAGCTCCATAATTTTGTGTTTATGATAGACTAAATCATTATTTCTTATTATAGTGGTTTGTTAGCCTTTCTTCTTTATCGTATAAATGAGTAGAATTGAAACGGTGACTCTTCAAGTACCACTTTATAATCCGTCTGTCCGTGGGTCTGTCTATGATAACACGTTTTCATCAAACCTCTATGTCAATGCAATTCAAAGATGCGATCTTTTATAAGGCACGTTAAAGCGATTAATAAGAATTAGAATTCATTTATTGTCATTAGAATAGGGGAGACTGGAGATCTTAAATACAAAGTTCGGCCCATTCTGTCATTTACAATAGCATGCAAATATTTAACAATGCATGAATTACATTAATATTATAATTTACATTAAGCTATCAATTTCACACATCAATAAAGTACATATTTGTGTAATATATGTAACAGTACAGGGGCTCAAGTACAACGTAAGTAAAAGTGAAATCATGATATATAAGCCGAAACGCATTCGTTACACTAATCTACCGCAAATAACACTGCGGCTTACCGCTGGATAACAGAAGATTTAAGTGACAATTGTGATATTGAAAGGGAGCGGAGGTCGTTGACTGTCCGCTGTAATATGTTAGCCCGCAGATTCGTAAAATGTACCAAGCCGGTTGAAATAACACATTTTAAAGCATCTTGCTAATCTTTCTATACATGCGGTCTGTGGGTGAAGTATACGCAGGGGATATATAGCGGCCTTTAAATACAATATAATAACGCGTTCAGGGTGTAGTTGGGGTGCCGCGTCACTGCAGTGCCTCCGGCATGTTTGCCGAAGCACATACAGTGATACAGATGGTTTCGCGGCCATCATGCGTAAGCGCTACGCCTCGCTACTTGGGCGGGTGCGCGGTAACCCCGACATCATCCTGAGGGCGTTGGCAGATCGGTGGGATTCCGCGATGCTATCTCGCTGGATACTGCATGCACTCATATAGCGAGCATAGTGGGGTGACATCGGTGTATCAATTTTTTATATATTTATTCGAGTTGTATGTGTTTATTGACTAACGTTAGTTTTTAAGTATAATCTGTTTATTACTAACCCACTATGGATCCATTGTCATCCGAAATAAATGATTATTAACTTTTATGCCCCGTTTGGATATTCAACTTTGTATTAAATGCACGTGATTTTGGGTATGGGGAGACCTCTCGCCATACTCAAAATCACGTGCATTTAATACAAAGTAACGTAAGGGGGTTGAAAGTTACATAGAAAACATCACGTGATTTTGTGGAAGACCCGTATAGACGTTCGCGATATCAAAGTATCACTCGTGTGTTGCCTACCCTGTGAAGCTTTGGAAACCTTACTCACCGGTAAAAACCAAAATATGGTGTTATTTCATTGCGATCTAATTCGAGTGGAAAAACTGTTACATACGTCTCATATGCATGGCAAAGGATATAAAGAATGGATTTCTATTTTCAGTTTCTCTTCACTATTTGGGTGCCCTCTGATCTGGTCCTCGTCAATGGACCCTCATACTATGGTGTTATGGCTAATAGATGAGGCGCCAAACGCAGCGTACACGCCAGACATTATATGTCCTGAGAACCTGCTCAACTTTTGGCAAAGAGTAAAGAATTTATGGATTTTATTGCAAAGAATGTTATTGTTATGGTAAGTGCTTAACTTCTTTGATTCTAAATTAAATATTAAGTCTTTATTTTGTATAGATATCATACGAAATCTACCTTGCATTTCATTGAAACACAACATTGCCTTCTACTTTTGCCTAAGATCAATGACTTTCTAAATACTGAGAAAGAAAGTCGAAAAAGGTTTTTTTAATTTGGATGCTTTTTTAATTTGGAAACAGTAAATTTGCTGATTTAGAATATTTTTCATCTGTAAAATTTATTGGCTTGGACTTGTTATTTTATGAGCTACTATGTCTTTGTAACTTATGTAAGTATATCGATAGTGTAATCGGAAGCGATTTTCAGCTACAACAATGGTAAAAATGGTAAAATAAAAAGTTGTTCCATGATTTCAGGTCAAAGCTTTCTAAGGAGACTAGTATTTATAACGAAGGATTTGGTCCATCAGCGGATAAAAGAGGCGTGAAGTTATCACCTCTTACCGAGGTTATGTACAACGGTTCTCTGATGCTGGGCAATTCTCACGTATCCCTGGGCCAAGCAATGACACTCCCGCAAAATTACAAACCAATTCTGGGCTATCACATACCAGAAACAATACCAGATTTACCTAAGGTGAGGTTGCTACATTTTCTGATTTCTTTAGATTCCTACCCTTAAAAAAACACTATTTATTATAAAACAACACTGATAAATTATTATTCCTTTATTTGTACTAGAATCTCCAGCAAATTATGGATAACGCGACCCATGGGGTAATCTACTTCAGTATGGGGTCTATGTTAAAAAGCAAAACAATTCCTTTAGAGATAAAGAAAGGCCTTCTGGCAATGTTTGGAGAATTAAAACAGACTGTTTTATGGAAATTCGAGGAGGAATTGTCCGACTTGCCGAAGAATGTGCACATTGTACAATGGGCACCACAACAGAGTATCTTGGGTATGTAAAATAGCTCAATATTTCAATGATCTTAAATAGTACTTTCTGCAAAGGTTAATAAATAGCCTCGCACCACCCTCGCTCCAAGCATAAAGTTTCTAAGAACGATATTAAGCTACTTAAGATATTACGTTTTATAATATAATCTGTTGAAAATCTAACCTGATGACACATTTTTTTTGATGACACCTCGGCCGAGTTGAATATTTTATAGTATTTTCTTTGGTTATAAATCGAATATGTAAGATGGTTTACTTATAACCTCGATTTTTTGACGTAAACTTCAAAAATAAATTAAGAAAACCTTGTTTGGACACATAAAGGTGAACGCAGACTTGGCCGCACCGCAGTGTCCGCAGTCCCCGCAGTCATCGCTTTGTGTTAATGGCCTCGTACATCGCATCGGCGTCGCCGCACGCATCGAACTTGATTTCTTTCATTCAGTTGATGCGAATGACGTCATCGGCACCGCGCTAGCCGCAGCGTCCGCTGCGTGCGGGCCGGCGTTGGTGACGTCATCAGCTGCAGCTTGGGGAGTTCGGTCGTTTCAGGGACTGCAACGCGGCCAAGTCTGCGTTCACCTTAACTCTCTTATTTATAACATCATCAGCCTATTCCTGAGCCTGTAGCATGAGCACGATGTTTTCTTAAGGAGAATAGGCAGGGTGTCGATTCTGCTACGCTAAAGTAAAAGCGTGTGTCAATAGTGTTTCTAATATCGCTTTTTGACACAGTTCTTGTCAATGCGCATAGCTAACAAAAAACAAATGAGTAAGTAAATACATTTGTGAAAATTTTGTATCTTAGTTACAAATCAAAACATCTGAAACACCATTGATACACGATACACATAGATCAACATCGGCCGTATTGCTCTATGACGATATTCGATAATCACTTTAACATAGCAGAATCGACACCTATATTGGTGTTTGCAAACGACTGCAGCTATACAGTCTTAAGACCAGGGCTTAAGGTGCCATCCGAAGCACGAGAAGCTAGAAATAATTAAATTTTTGGTCACCCAGCCATTGTAAACTGGCCATCCGATCCAATGTACAGAGGAGCTTGAGATAATAAGTTTCCGTTCACCCATCCAAAGACCGACCATTGCGAAGGTGCCTAACTTCCACGATCGCTTGTCGAACGCGCTACCCACCTACGCCGTCGAGCTCCTCGTATATTTGTACAACCAAATTTATCTTTCAGCCCATTCGAACTGCTTCCTATTCATCACGCACGGAGGTCTCCTCTCGCTCACGGAAGCTATACACTTCGGAGTGCCTGTGATCGGTGTTCCTATGTTCGCTGATCAGTTCTCTAATATAGACAGAGCTGTCGGCAAGGGATTTGCGAAGAGAGTCGACCTCGATTGGGATTTTGTCACCAATGTCAAAAACGCGATAGATGATATGACTGCAGATTCCAGGTAAGATCAGAGTAATTTATCAAAGTTCATTGTTTTGTTAGTGGTGTTCAGCATAGATTTGGTTATTTTCTAAGTATGTTCCTGTTGGTGAGCAAAAGAAAGTAACACACCTGTAGCGTCGTTAATACGAATGTATTTTACATAACACTCCTAGCTCTAGCCCCTCAACTGGCTTTGGTAGCTGCCTACACCACAAAATACCTACACCACCAGGCGTAGGCGAACCGATTGCTAGTTTTTTTTACAACAGACTTAATGGGGATGAGCACCTTTCGGGAAGTGGAATTCTGAATACATACTCCACAGCCGCTTCAGAGTTATGTCAGAGTTTCACTGACTAAAAATCACCCAAGGAAGCCTTTAGCTGGGAAGGCTTTTAAGGCGACATCGGAAGGAAGTAGCCCTTGGGAGGGGGTGACACTAATACTTGTTTGTCACCCGTGTCTCCCTTTGAACTTGAGTAACGCTCTGGAGTCGGTGCAGTCTATGGATCTTCCACCATCTCCCTCTGTCCTCCGCCAGGTCTTTCACCCCTTGTACGTCTCGACGGCAGTTTTCTCCTTAATTTCTAAGGCCATCCACGGTTTCCCCTTCCTCTCTTTCCTTCTAGTTTTCCCTCAAAGATGTTCATATATAATTCATCGTCTAGCACAAGATGGAGAAACATCCTTCCCTTACTGGTTCTATTTTGTCGAGTAACTCTCTCTTTTCGTTTACAACTTCCTATACTCATTCGGTTATCAATTTTCATCCTCGCAGTACAGAAATAAACCTTTTCAGATACCGTGACACCGCGAACGAGTTATCGTTCATATACCACAACCGCGTGGCGTCACCGGGCGCGGAACTGGTGCACTGGGTGGAGCACGTGGTGCTGACACGCGGCGCTCCGCATTTGCGCTCGCCCGCCATCGACGTGCCCTTCTACCAGAAGCTTTACCTCGACCTGGCTGCGATAATAGTAGCCGTTATAGTCACACTAATGATCGTAGTACAAAGAATTCGCAGGAAAAAAGTCAACCAGAGGAAACAAAAAAAAAACTAAACAGGAACTATTTACTTCGGTTGTTCCATGTCTATTTCCGAAAAAGTGCTCTTCAGAAAATGTCCGCTTTTGTCTACATTTCTGGAATATATTTTTCATACATTATCTTTTTCCTACAATGCGATTTTTGCGTTCTTCCATGTCTAACTTCTTCAAATGTTTCCCAGGAAATCGTTGACTCTTCCGAATGAACAATAAATATACATATATTTTATAACAATTAAATACTTAATTAAAAAAAAATGTATTTATATTATTCTGTTGATTGTCTATCCTAGAAGCCTAGGAGTATAAAATCATTTTTTATGACCAATGAATATTCCTGTTTGCAACTTCTTTTGAGTTATCTAAAAAAACAGCATTATGCTACCGCGTCCCTGGTGGCCGTGTCGAATTCTTTCTACCCTTTCTTAAGCTGCAAGGCGTGTGGATTTTTTTCTAGTAAACTTTTCTTTAGATAAAAACAAAATATTTTAGGAAATGGTTATATCCTAAAATATTTTGTTTTTGTGCCAGGAAGCAGACATTTTAGAAAGTAGACATTGAAGGAAACGAAAACTCATGTTGTGGGAAAGCACATTTTAGGAAACAGACATTGTAGGTACTCGTCCTTTTATGTATTTGACATTGTGTTTAATTAATAACATCTGTATTGTAGACCATCAAAAGTGCAATACCACAATAAAATATTTTTAAGTTAAAAATGTATGAACATGATTTTGTGAAATTAGTTGATTTAAAATTTATTGAAATGAAACATAGCTGAATTACATAGCTGTTAACATTTTAAAAGGGGTTCCAAAATGTAAACACAAATGTCAATTCAAAGAAACAAACTACATTTTGAATATTTACATTTGAATTTACAAATATTTCTATTGTTTTCAGTGCACCTTATGTATTGGAATTATATGACTGTTATTTTTACTTTTTGGACTATAACTCGTAAAATTTTAAAACTTACTAAACTGTGATACTTTTCCTTTGAATTAGACACCCTTGATTTTAAATAATTTAAGTAATCTCGAATTTTCTTTTAGATGATTGTTTTATATGTTTTTTTTTATTAACGGCATGAGTGACAAGTGTAGGATTTTATAGTATAATTTTATTACCTACATTTATAAATCTAGCAGTTTAATGGTTTAAATTAAAAATATACTTATTAATTAACGAAGTTTTATTGTATGAGGTCAATAATATGTTGTTAACACAGTACACCATTTTTTTTTAATTATTAACTTTAACCATTTTTTATGTCTAGTTTGGACGTATTAGTGCTTTATGGGTAGAAGCAAATTGTGTGTACGCGACAAACATAAAAGTGGTGATAAATGGTGATTAAGAAGTCTCAACTACTTTCGACCCGAGGCTGCCAGTGATACTGCCAGGGGTGAAAGAGGTGTAAAAAGTATAGACATAGAATAATTATAACCTATATTACCTACAACAGTGTTTGTGGTAAAGTTTGGGTAAAGTTAAATAATTAAACACCATGTCATGTCTGACTTTGTCACATTCAACGCGTTAGTATGGCTGTTAACTTTAATGGAATTTTAAGAAGAAAGTAGCTAAAGATATAGATGTAGGTGGAACTATTGCAGGGAATAAAGGGGTAGTTATACTTTATAGGAATAGGTATGGGATGTTACATTCCATTTTTTTAATTCTTTTTAAGTCATACACCTTAAAGGTTAAGCCGGCTACATTCCCTTTGATTATATAAATGAATCAACGTATCACTTCCGTGATCACTTTGTTGTCCGTACCTATCTCGGGAACTCGGGGAGACTTGAGTTAAAATTAAAACCTTGAAGCTATTGAGGTCCATTGAAGCTGTAAATAATGAAACTTGTAACTTAACTAGCTGACCTAGCGATCTTCGTACAGCCATAAAAGTAGGGAGAAAATTTAGGGTTGTAGGTATGTATTTTTAATGCCAAATCATAAACAAATAAAAAAAATACAAAACAAAAATTAGATTCGAGCACCCTTATCGCTTAAGGGTATGAAAAATAGTTTAAGCCTTATTCTTCGACCTACTGGATATACACACAAAATTTCGTAAGAATCGGTCAAGCCGTTTAGGAGGAGTTTTGTTTTTTTAGGAGGAATTTGTAAGAAAAACTGGCCAAGCACGATTCTGCCCTTGCTCTATTAGGGTTCCGTAAAACCATTTGTTTGTTTTCGTCACAATTTACAAAGCATTTTATGAATCGACGTTTTCAGTATTTTTTTAAATACAGCATATTGCATATGAAACATCATATAACACACATTCTTAACTAGTTTCGATTGTAAATAATAAAAAATAATTTTAAACAATACCATTCAGAAGAAAATTTAATTAGGAAAAAGAAGATAATTTTACTAGCAAAAAAATAAGCTTTAGGCAAGCATTCTACATAAAAAACCAAGATTTCAGTACTGTAACTCATTCCGTTTACGATCTAGAGCCCGCGTCAGGGTATACAATCTTGCAACGATGCATTCATACATGCAACATTACGTGTAAACGCAAAGTTGAGTGAATAACTAGTCAATTGTAGGCTTGATGCCTACAATTGACTGGTTATTCAATCAAAGTTTTCCAAGTGGCAATTTTCCTTCGTCAATGGGTAGCAGTTCTGGCGACAGATTGGTGCAATGGTGTCATGTAGCACCTGGTTTTGTACCCTTGTGTACCGTTCAACGGCCAAGTCACACAACATAAACTATAATAATAAAGAAATCGCAGTAAGGAACCTTAGACTTGGCACGACTTTCATTACTTTTTAGAGATAAACAAGCAGCACCATCGAGACTTGGCTAGTTTTTACAGAATGTTTTTGATGGGATGACCTTTACAAGTTGTCAAAAGAAGCTGCTAGAAAGATTGCTGTTGAGGCTTGTCATGGTTTTGTAACTTCAACTCTGCGATATGGTGTAATATTCTGGGGACTAACAAGTTATAGATAAATATTGTTAAGAGCTCAAAAACAATATGAGAGAGCCATTTGTTGATTGAAGTCCGCTATATACAGGGTGGCCGGGGAGTTGACGTTCAAAAGTAAAATTTAGATACTTTATGATGAGGAGTATCCAAATCACCCCCATGTATGTTCTACGATTTTGCGTACTTTTCGAGTCATAATTTTTTTAAAGTTTTTTCGTAATTTTCACCTAACATCGGTTTTCGATTTTTTTCTCATTCTGTTGGACGTTTCTGGTTCAGTTTTTTTGTAATAACTGACTAACATAGTTTAACCTATCATCCTAAAACTTATGGTTTATCTAGCCATTGCAGAATTCACTTAGAATTTGTTCGAAAGTTCAAAATTACGATTTGAGCTCAGTACACACAAATTTTCAAAGTATCAAAAAAAATGTAAATGGGGGGATTTGGAGTTCAAAGTGCTTTTAGAAAATTTCTGAAACATTAAACTTTAAAACAAGGTCAAATAAAGATAGGGTTAATGGGGGTTTATTTTCTGTAACTGTCCTTCAAAGTAAATTAAGGCATTTTTCATGGAAAAAACATAATTATTTTCTTTTATTTAAATCTTTGCCTTTCTCTCAGTTATGACGGATTTGAGTAAAACGCAGTTAATTGTTAACAAAATACATTTATTTAAAGCAAATTTTCAAAATTCCGCCCTCCCACAGAAATACACAATCTACATCTGCGCAAAAAAATTATGTTATGTTATAGGCCTTAAAGGCTTCACGGTTATTTTTCACAGTGGTTTCAGCTTCGCGAATTTTTGCTGTCAGTTCTTCTTCACTCGAAGCTTCTCTGACGTACGCAATTTCATTAAAGTAGCCCCAGATAAAAAAATCAATAGGGTTGAGGTCAGGCGAGCGTGGTGGCCAGGCAATTGGCCCTAGTCGTCCGATCCACCTGCTGGGGTAGATCTGGTCTAAATGGCGACGCACTTGTGTCGCGTAATGACATGGCGCCCCGTCATTCTGGAACACCATCGTTCTTCTTAATTCAAGATTTACATCTTCCAGTAATATGGGTAGATTGTCTTCTAAAAAACTTTTGTATGTGTCGCCATTTAGACCAGACCAACCCCAACAGGTGAATCGGACGACGAGGGCCAATTGCCTGGCCACCACGCTCGCCTGACCTCAACCCTATTGATTTTTTTATCTGGGGCTACTTTAAAGAAATTGCGTACGCCAGAGAAGCTTCGAGTGAAGAAGAACTGAGAGCAAAAATTCGCGAAGCTGAAGCCACTGTGAAAAATAACCGTGAAGCTTTTAGGCACCTAAAACATAATTTTTTGCGCAGATGTAGATTGTGTATTTCTGTGGGAGGGCGGCATTTTGAAAATTTGCTTTAAATAAATGTATTTTGTTAACAATTAACTGCGTTTTACTCAAATCCATCTTAACTGAGAGAAAGGCAAAGATTTAAATAAAAGAAAATAATATTTTTTTTCCTTGAAAAATGCCTTAATTTACTTTGAAGGTCAATTACAGAAAATAAACCCCCATTAACCCTATCTTTATTTGACCTTGTTTTAAAGTTTAATGTTTCAGAAACTTTCTAAAAGCACTTGGAACTCCAAATCCCCCCACTTATATTTTTTTTGATACTTTGAAAATTTGTGTGTACTGAGCTCAAATCGTAATTTTGAACTTTCGAACAAATTCTAAGTGAATTCTGCAATGGCTAGATAAACCATAAGTTTTAGGATGATAGGTTAAACTATGTTAGTCAGTTATTACAAAAAAACTGAACCAGAAACGTCCAACAGAATGAGAAAAAAATCGAAAACCGATGTTAGGTGAAAATTACGAAAAAAACTTTAAAAAAATTATAACTCGAAAAGTACGCAAAATCGTAGAACATACATGGGGGTGATTTGGATACTCCTCATCATAAAGTATCTAAATTTTACTTTTGAACGTCAACTCCCCGGCCACCCTGTATTATAATTGTGTACCATATTTTAGATCCCTTAAGTTGTTGATATTGCCATGTCTCTAAATTTTTGAGTGCTGCGTTTTCGTGAAAAGTAATTCAGATCTTTATTAAAGTTAGAGAATCTTATGAAAAAAAGTGTTGTAGAAATGGCTCCTATAATATATGTCGGAGGATGTAACGAGTAGAGTTGATTGTTGAATGCCAAGTGTGAAAAGGCTATTGTTTACACTTTAAATATTTTTATAAAATCTTAATTTAATTTGATTTAAATTAATTACAATTTTTGTATTGTTCAGTAACTTAGCAATTGAATAAAAGTCGCTAATAAATCATTTTATGTCGCGTCCAATCAGAGCAGAGCACGTGCCTCGAGTGGGGTCGAGGCGCCATCTTGATTTTCACAAGTGGGAGTAGTTTTTGCGCGTATTTAAAGGCGAGGAACTGATCGTAGCGGAAACAAATTTTCGTATGCTGTTAAGCATGTCATGGAGCCACGTTTATATAAAATTTTACAAATATTGTAATGATAACGAATAAATGATTTAATTTGATATCATAAATCATAGAAGAATTGAGAGGCAAATATTTTAGATAATAATAAGTAGCTACATACCTACATTATTTATAAATTCATAAAACATGTTATAAATATTCCTATCTTCTTAAAATGTGTATGAACTGATAATTATGTCTAGAAGGAAAATGATGACAAAGTAGCATTTATCTAAAACTATAAATCTGCAACATCATTTTATTTGAGATAAGACCTATAGTTTTATTCGTGGATAACGACATCCATCAAAGTGAGGCGTGCAATTAGAATACCTAGTCCAGGAAATGAAGCTAAAAAAATGCTAAAACCTCGCAATTTTTTCCTCCAGCACCAATTTGTACAAGAATTTGGGATTAGGCTTATTTAACCCTCTAGTTCATTTTCTATACTGTGCCATTGTACGCTTTTTGTTTTTTAGGGGTGAAAACTACCCCTTATTATCAAAAATTATAAAATAAAATTAAAACCCTAAATGTGGGTAAATAAGTAAAGGTAATAATAGTTAAAAAAATATTGTTTCATGCTTTAGGATACAATTTCATAATCTTTCAACCTACCTTTGTTAAAAACTACCCTTAAAAACAATGAAATTTCTTTTACGAAAAAAAAAATGATCGGTTTTTTAACATTCATTTTAGGTGATAGATTTTTTTTTCAGAAAGGAAT